CCTTATATCACCAGTAAATTCCGGTGGATATTTTTCTGGAATTTATTCTAATACACCTCTTGCAGATATACCAGAACCTTCTACTGCAAGTACATTTTCATGTAATAGTAGAAGTCATAAACACTCCATAAGTAGTAGTCATGAAAAATTAGATTCATCTCCATGTTCTATTTGTCATATACCATATAATGATCACAGTGTACCATTTTCTATGAACATGAAGTATTGTTCTACTTGCAAACGGTACAAAGTACCACATATACTTTTATCTTCATTGGAACCTATGGAAAAACTAACTATTAGAGGTACTGGAACACTATTACAAACTTTTGTTTGTCGCAATAAACGAGAGCTCAAGGGAGAAATGAATGCTAAAGAAATATCTGATGGTTTGCCATTTCTCGAGTATGAACTACATAGTCAATTATTGAATAAATTAAGGGTGAAAGGAATGAATGCTATTTTTGGACTGAAAATTCAAGTTTGTCTTGGTGAAAGAGTTGTTTCTTTACATGCTACTGGGACAGCTATGTACATTACTTGCTTGCCTGAACCACCATTACCATTAGTAAAAGCTGGCAAATCTTGGGCTCATCCAGATCAACAACAAGTTTTACGTGCCCAAAAGTTACTGAATGATGCTGTGGTTAATAATAGACAACACTATCATCTTGTTCAAAAAGAAGTCGAATCTGAAAATATATCTTACAGTAGTTCAGGAAAACCTTTACCTGATATTAATTTGAGCTATGGGAATAGAGACACTTGTATTCTAGAAGTATTTATTATTATTTTTAAATTTTTCTTCTTGATAAATAAATAAATACAAATCAATAATTAATAGATGGACGACGCAGAAGATTTAGATGTAGTTACTCAATTGTTAGAGCCAACTCCTCCAGGATCATTTTTGCTATCTAATACTGATGTTCTTCCGGGAGCTGGTTCAGAAGTTTTTCCTATGGAACCCGTGTGTAATCTTCAAATGTTTACTCAAGTTTGGAGATCTAAAGCGCATTACACTAATGGAAATTTTGATAAACAACTTCAGCGTATGCTACAAGTAATCTTGTTAAATATATAAAGTTAATATAATCTATTAGTATTTAAATAGATAATGCATTATATTTGAACATTTATAATATCATTTAGGGATTGTTTTTTAAGTTAAGAAGGATGACACCATGTGGATTGGGAAAATTATCATTCAAAATTGATATTCCAGAGCCTGATGAACTCCAAATATCAATAGTTGGTTAGTTATTTTTATAGTCGTAACTAATATATTATATGTTAAGTTAAATATTTATCAAATTTTTTTTTAGGTATGGCTTTGGGCTTAGGCGAATCTGATAAAACAACTGCAAAACAAATTTTGAGAAGAAGACAATTACCCTTAAAAGATTTTGAGCAGAAAACAGGTAGGCTTACAATTTATTAAAACTTTTCAAATGTAATGAAATACTTATTTATATATATATATATATATTATGATATTTTAATCTAAATTTTATAAATTAACTTAAACTTAACTAACTTACTTTTAACTTTAACTTAAGTTGAATTATTTAAGAAAGTAAAATTTTATATTCAATTTTTTTATTTAGAAGAACTTATTTTTAAGTTAGAAGATGTTTCATTAAGTCATGGAGAAAGAAAAGTTAGAAAATTTGAACGAGCACCTAGGCCAAATAGACTATCTACACATGTATGTTAAAAATTATAAAAATTTTATCTGTAAAATATAGTATATTTTATATACATTTTAATACTTTTTAAGTCATGTCATTAAGTAGTTTAATTGATAAAAAAACTGTTAATAAATATAAACCTTATAAAATAATATATAAATAAATAAATAAATAAATATATAGATTATATAAAGAAATAAATAAACAAATAAATATTCAGCATGTGGTATTATTATATTTGTAAAGTACAACCAGTTTTAAATTAAAAATGTATCATCAGATATATACAAATTCAATAAAAAATAGCGACTGAATATGAAAACCTAAAAGAAGGAGTACTTTAAAAAAATTTGTAATTTTACACAAAGATAATTTATTTTAATAGGAGAAATTATTTAAAATGAGTTCTTATTAGACATAGATATGTTAAGAAATATAACTACTTTGGTTATTATTATTTAAAATGTATTGATATTATTTTTGAATTAGATTTGTACATTTAAAATATTATTAATACAGTTTTTCTTTATTTCATTAAGTAAAATGAAAGTATCACTAAACACTTTATTTAGAGGTTAAAATAGATAAGCAGAAAATGTAGTTAAATATTTAATTAAAAATAAATAAGAACATTCAATTTACACACGAAATACAAATAATTAATAAATTAAATCTCTAGATTTTACAATTTTAATAAAAGATAAATAATTTAAATTTAATGTTTTCAGGAAACCTACACAAACTAATGCTATAATACGATATGATTCTAATCATCCTTATTATTAAAGAATATAATTATCAACACAAGCTCAATATTATCTCTAATATAGTTTATATAAATAATTTTAATTTAAATATTATTCAAAAAGTCCATAAACATATTAAATAAAAAATAAAACTATATATGTTGAGTAATATAATTATGTCTACAAATATGTCTAATAAGAACTCATTTTAAATAACTCATTTTAAATAATCTTTCGTGTTAAAATAAATTATCTCTATGTAAAACAACAAATTTTTCTCAATGTTTTATATTTTCATATTCAGTTGTAATATATTGACTTTGTATACACCTGATGATGCATTTTTAATTCGAAACCAATTATACTTAGCAATTATAATAATACATCCAGACAAGCATTTATTTGTTTATTTATTTATTTATTTCTATATATATATTACGGCTAGTGTTCGAATGATGGTTAATATTAAGATTTGCCAGCTAATCTTAAGTTTAGACAATGCTTTTGGCTAATGTCGAAATTTTGGACTTCAACCACCAAAAACAAATGGATAATCTTAACACTAGCCAATAAAACTAACATTATCCAACCGTTATCGGCTAATGACTAAATAAAATGAGCCATAGGTACATTAAAAATTTAAAACTATTTACAATAATAATATAATATTTTGAAATTGTAATTTTTCATGAATTTGATATGTTGGGTAGTTGTATAGAGGTGAGCCACTTGGCAAGTAAAATATTTTCCATATTATAAATATTGTACATAATTGTGTGCATTTTGATATTATTTTAAAATTATTATTGATTGCAAAATTCATATGCATGCAGTTGCACATAATAGTGTGGGCTAAATAGAGACAGTCCGTAATAATTTACCGTAATTACCGACTCAAGTTTGTAAGTAGTTAAGATACCAGCTTGTAGTACTTGGTAGGTATTTCTTGTTTTCAAGCCTAGGAGTTAATAAGTTAAAAGTTAAGTTAAATTAATTTATTAATTTAACTTATTTCATTACTAATAAATTAACTTAACTTATTAACTTAACTCATTTCCTTACAAATTAACTTAAAATAAACATACTATTTTTTCGTTTATCCCAATTAAGTTAATTTTGATTTTCAAGACCAGAAAAATATTTTTGTATAATATCGCATTCGATAATAAGTTCATGGAATTAAAAAAAATATAAAAATAAAAATTTCGAAAATTTTTGAGATGAGACCATAATATTTATCTCGGTATTAATTATTGATAGGGGTCCCATCATTTTCGGGAAAAGTAATCAACCGTCTTCAGACTATTGAGTAGAAATAGTCATGACACTCATGAATTACATTACCATTGTCATGAAAAGTGGCCGTAAATCTATATAAAAAAAATAGGTACATTTTATCATTGACTAAATAATTTTTAATAATAATTGTACTTTATTATTATTAAAATTATTCCATAATCTATAATATTATTAAATATTATTGAATAAGAAAAGAAATGAAAGAATTTTTGTATGACATAAACCGTTTAATTATTTGTATGGATAATGTTATTTAGACATTAGCCATATGCATCTGGATAATGTTAAATATTGGTGAATAAAGTCCTAAATTTAGATATTAGCCAAACGTAGTGGCCAAACTTGTGATTAGCTGGCTAAATTTGAGTTTAGCCATACTCCTAACACTAGCTGTAACATATATAAACTATATGTTTATTTTTTTATATATTAATTTATGAGTATTAACCATTTACTAATTTTTATTATTTTATTATTATTAAGTTTATCAGTTATTAAAAATGGTAGTATTGTTCTATTATTTTTTAAAAATATTAAAACTTTGACGGTATAAAATATTGAAATCTGATTTATAATAACTTTCAAATTAAATAATTCCTACATTTAGTGAATTGTTGAAACTTGTATTTTATTTTATAATTTAACTTTTTTTTGTGTGAAAAAATATATAAACATGTAATTACATTTCAGGCTGCTCCAAAAGATAGATATGGTGTGGACATAACACCAATGACTTATATACCTGGTGCCAAAATTGAACGATATTTAGGAAATTTAAATTTTTTTTTCATTCGTGAAAGCACGTGTATTAGAGAAAGCGGTGGTCTAAGTGGTTTTGTTCATTGTTTTGTTGCCGAGGTTATGGCTATAGTGCGTGCACATGTAACAGCACTTGGTGGAAATGCAATGGTAGCTTATTTTATGAATGAATGTATTTTACTTAACAATCCTCATAAAAATCAAGGACAATGTCTTCTAAATGTTGGAGGTG